TTTGGTGGGCAACATTAGTGCGGTACTTATCATCAAACCAAAAGTCACGCTGATGATGGCTGCAACAACACCTGGAGCCCATGACCCAGCAACTTCCAGATGTTGAGCTGGGACAGGGAACAGGCTTGTCTGCTCCAGATGATTGCCCTGGCCAGAAAGAGTAAACAAAGAGGCACTCTTGAAAGAGGGTGTTAAGGAACAGTGAGCCCCCTTCCCCTTCACCAGGAAACGTCCCCAGGACAGGACAGCTGCTGACCTCTTTCTGGAAGCGCTGGGCCTCAGAAGGTTGCTGGTTCCTGCCTACTTGCTCCCAAGGCATATTCTTGATCAGAAAGGAGGGAAGAAGTGCGTGGGTGTGGGAAGGAGAGGCAGGGAAGAAGTCACAGGAATGCCCACAGCAGAGGTCTGCAGGGACGCTGGGCTATCCCTGGTGGCAACACTATTGGGGCTGGCGCTGGATGAGAACAGCCTCACAAGCACCCTGTGCTATGACTCCAGCCCCCAGGATCCTCCTCAGGATTCAGAGAAGGAGCTCAGGTGAGCTCTGGGTGGATGATACCATCTTTTCCCATTGAAATCACAGAATTTTACAACTAAAGAGAACTTCCAGATGGTTTGAGTCAACTGCACTCTTTTGGGGGCTGGAAGCAGAGTTGAAAAGATTTAGACAAAATCACACAGTTCAATTATTAACAATTCAGACTAAGTTTCAGGCCATCTGACCACAACTGAGGCCCCGCAATACTACTCTACTCAGTGTATTATACTGTGGTGTGTATGTAGGTGTATGTGCACATGTGTGTGAATGTGTGTCAGGATTACATGTATATACATGTGTATTGTGTAAGGGTGTGAATATGTGTGCATTTGGGCATCTGTACATAAGTGTATGTGTATAGGTATGTCATGTGCATACATGTTCATATGTGTAATGAGTTAGTGTGCATGTACATATGTGTGTATTGGGCGTGTGTGTAATTCTATGTGTTTGTGGGTGCACATACACGTGTATTTGCGTGTGCTTAGTGAGCGCTTCGCTGGCCATAATGGCTTGTTTCTCTGGCCAAGAGAATTGATTCTCCCTGATTCAGCCATAAGTGTCCATTTCCCAGCATCAGGGTGACTAACCAGGACATCCGGAGAACTTTCTTCTTCTCTGCCCCACCCATCCTGCCCACTCCATTCTCGGGTGTCAGAGGCTGAGGCTCTGGCCCCAGTGTGAGCCCCACAGGAGGTCTTTGAGCCCTCAGGTTGCCTCACAGCCAGCATCCATGAGCATCTTTCTGTTTTCCAGGAGGGTGAGCCAAGGCTGCTCCCATCAATGACAAAATGCTGGGACCTGGATTCACATGCAAGGAGAAACCAGGCACTGGGGGCTGAGGGTCCAGCTGCTCCTGGGCTGGGAGTCAGCAACCTCGGTGCTTCCAGGGCTCACCCTCCCTGGCCATGGGCAGTGCCCCTTGGCTTTGCGGCAATTTGAGGCAATGAAAGTTTTTATTTCCTCTGGCTGTATTTTCTAGACATATTTTAACATAGCTATAATCATACAAAATGTTGAATTTTTTGTCCTGCTTTTAAAAAGATTCTAGTTAGGTTAGATTATAAACAAGGTGGGTGGATCACCTGAGGTTGGGAGTTCAAGACCAGCCTGACCAACATGGAGAAACCCCATCTCTACCAAAAATACAAAATTAGCCAGGCATGGTCGCGCATGCCTGTAATCCCAGTTACTCGAGAGGCTGAGGCAGGCGAATCATTTGAACCCAGAAGGCAGAGGTTGCAGTGAGCTGAGATCGCGCCATTGCATATTAGGCTGGTCAACCAGAGCCAAACTCCATCTCAAAAAAAGTAAATAAATAAATAAAAATGCCTAATAAATACTTATTGAAAGTATAAGTATAAAAAAACTTTAATTACATTAATTATGAGATTTTAAAACTGTATTACTTGAGAGAAGAGACCAAATCTCCTTGTGATATTTTTATTAATTTATTTAATAATAAAGATGAACATAAACATTTGTGCAACTCAGTGTTTAAAGTTTGCCAAGGTATATGTATATATCTTTCCCAATGCTGATGCTGTGAGAAGCCCAAGCCATGGAGCTGCCCCAGGCAGGTGCTCTTGTCAACGGCCCAAGCTAAACGCCCAGCCAACACCAGCATCTGCGGCCAGCCATCGTGAGTGACCTTGCAGACGTCATGTCCCGTAAGCCCTGCAGATGTCTCCAGGCACAGATAGAGCCTACAGATGTCTCCCCATGAAACCACACAGCCAAGTCCAGGCGGAAAATGTGAAAGTGTTTCTACCAAGCCACTGAGTTTCTGGGTGATTTGTTTTTACAGTAATGAGACCGTTCAGGTTCTATCTTTTATATTTTTCAGTGGGAACATGAGACTTTTGAAAAAACACAGGTGGTGAAAATATGTGTTCTTTTGCCAATACAATGGAAATTTTTCTGTTGATTAAAATAATGCAGGTGCTTACAGGTACTTGGTGAAATGTGGCCACAGACTCTCAGTTTGGGTCCTCTTATCTGTCTTCCACCTTCCAAGGCCAGCACCCATTCTTAAGCCCAACCTCACACCCTGGAGTTTATCCCTCATCCCTTTGGACCCAAAGACAAACAGCCTTGCCAATGCAGTAGTACCTTGTTCTCACCTCAACTGCAAGTTGGCCATGGGGGGTCTTCAGCAGCAGCTGGGGAAGATGCTCCAGAAACTGGCCCTCATAGCTTTGCCCTGTAAACTTGACTGGGTGCAAACAACGTGGGTGATAAACATGATTCTTAAGGCTCTTTTCAGTATGAAATTACATGTATGTCTGATCTCTTTAAGAAAAAGTGGAATTTTTATTTAAAACATTTTTTTGTCCTTGTAGACTATTTTCATATTTTGCTTCAATCAAGAGTTGGGTCAACACAACAACTGGGCAGCTGACATGAGATCTGCACATAGTTACTAGAAGAGCCAGAACCCACACTGTTCCTCCTGAGTGAACCACTGGCAGAGCAGGTATGGCTTAGAACTGAGTTTCATGCCTTGACTGCTGAGTATGGTTTGGACTGTGTTCCCAACCAAATCTTCATCTTCAATTTTAGCTTCCACCAATTCCCACATGTTGTGGGAGGACCTGATGGGAGGTAGTTGAATCATGGGGGCAGGTCTTTCAATGCTGTTCTCATAATAGTAGTAAGTCTCACGAGATCAGATGGTATTTATAAGGGGAAAACCCTTTCGCTTGACTCTCATTTTCTTCTCTTGTCTGCTGCCATGTGAGACGTGCCTTTCACCTTCCTCGTGATTGTGAGCTCCCCAGCCAACGTGGAACTTGAGTCCATTAAACCTCTTTCTTTGTAAATGCCAGTCTTGGGTATGCTTTTTCAGCGTGAAAACAGACTAATACAATTACACAAAAAATCAATGCATCAAAACAGAAAGAAGTCCACCAGTACATTGAAATTACATTTTATTTAAACAGGTAAAAAATGTGTATATCTTTTTAAAATGAAAACACAAAGTAAAGTGAATCAATAATACAAACATGTTTATAGTAGAAAAATAAGGTAAACATTACCAGTGTGAAAAATAGAAATTCCAATCACACTTGGATCTTCAATGATTGAAAGTCTGCATTCCACACAGCAGGGGCTGTAGACTAAGATAAATTCCTCTCTGGATGTGCACATCCTCAGTCAAGTTCTTCCTCATCATCATTCATCAGCTCACACAGTGGGGTAGCTGGCTGCTGTGGCGATTCACAGTTGTTCCTCCGGTCTTTGGCCATCTTTATGTTGTATGATCCACCATGCCCCAGTTTTTTACCCCCTGAAAGGGCAGGGTAACAGGTTTTCCATTTCAGAGGAAGGATAAAGCACTTTGGGTTATTAACTTAAACAGTGTGCCAGAAGCCACAGGCTTAACGTAAAGAATCAGCAGATGCCGATGTTCCTGTTCATCCATTATAAATTTTTAAGTCAAAACCTGCATATCACTTCAATCCCAGGCCCAAAACTGTGACCTTTCACAGAACGGCAAAATCAGAAACAGAAAAAGGACAGGATGTCTTTCCAGCCAGGTATGCTTCAGAATTAAGAAAATGTTCAGAATTTAAACATGCAATGGGACAAATACCATGTTAATATCCCCAGCATGCTTGTGACAGTATCTTGATGTTACAATCAATCATTACTATTCTGGGTTCTATCTAAGGGGGATAAAGACTTCTGGGATTTCAGAAATGGGATTAAGGGCTTGCGGTATGTAAATACTGATTGCAAAAAAGGATTCCCCTTTGAATTTCAACTATAAGCCTTTCTGGCAATTTATACCTGTTCTTCACCAGCCAATATTTATTGTTATCCGAGTCTGCTCCTTCATAGCCACAGCCAACTGCCAGCATAGCATGATCTAGGCCTTCAGGGTCACAACGTGGCTCAAAATAAATTCCTGAGAGAATAAAATGAAGGCTGGGTGAGAAGTTCCCAAGGACACCTGACAGTAACCCACCCTGTCACCCACAGGGAGGGAAGCATCTCTAAAATCAGTGAAATGACACACAGTCCAGATCGGGCTTAACAAGATCTATTGTTATCAAAGCTAGGGAATTAGGCTGTCATCCACAACTAGCAGAAATTGAAATTGGCATAAGTCCCTCATAAAAAACTTTCCTACAAGCATAAAAGACCACTCATTTTAAGCTTGTAATTCTACTCTAGAATATCAATCTTAAAAAGAGCACAGAACACCAAAATCCTTGAATCAAAAGGCTCTTTTCAGATTTAATCACAGAAGTAAAAATCTTTCTAAAAATTCTAAGAATACAACAATTAGAGAATATTTAAGTAAATTAAACTATACTATAAATAACATAGCTATTTATAAAAAGTTATGAAGTACATGTATTCATGGAGATATGCTCAAAGTAATGTCAAACAGAAGCATTGGGTATGATTATTGCATGTATAGGGTCCATCATGCTGGTGTGCTATGGTGGTTTACTTTTTTTCTGCAATAATTTCTATGAAGAAAGATGCTTACCTTTTTTGTAGAACTGGAAGGAGAAATGGCTTGCATCAACAGCAACAGAGACGGGCTCCACAGTTGCCACTGCCTTCGCCAGGTCCTTCTCCCGTGAAGGGATGTCCACAAAGCCAGTGTCATTAGCAACAGAGTACTTGGGATTGTACCTACAGGTTTTAACCTTTTAAAGGTAAAGAGGGAAGCGATTTGATGACTACCATCCTTCTCCCAGGGAACGTGAGTCAGAATCACCATACTCAGCAGTTTGCAGCATAGAATTTCCAAGTCAACACTGTCACAAATCATCCAAGGAAGTGAAATGTTGTTATTAATTGTTAATTTGAAACTGAAAATTAGCTCAGTTCTCTTCGGCAAGACCCCTAGGTTTACTTTCCATAAGACGTTTTTCGCAATGGAGACATCTGTATTATGTGTAGAATGGTTTGTATATTCTCCATGTTACACAGAAGCAAGAACAGCTGCATGTTAACCATGTAATCCCAGAACTGTGCAAAGGCTATAATTTATAATGACAACACAGACAGTTTGCAGATAGAGATTCCACCATCTAAAATGGCAATTCTGAAAAGTGTCTGTTATCTCTGAAAGTGTCCCAATAAAACAAGGCAGGAACGGCGTCAAGAAAAGGAGCTCCATTTACCTTTCCTTCATATGGGTAGGATGCCTCAGAGTCCAGGCCTCCGTTCTCCTGAACATACCAGAAGGAATTATCCATGAAACCACCGTTGCAGCCCTCATTGCCTTGAGGCCAAGAGCAGTCTACCAGATTCTGCTCACTCAGTGAAATAAGTTTGCCTGTTTTCCAGAACATCTGCCCTTCCAGAGCACCAGATGCACTAAAAGCCCAACAAGAGCCACACATACCCTGAAAAGAGAATAAAAAAGCTGATACCCACAAACACACACACACAGAGCAAGACTTTTAACAGCTCATATATCTAAATACTCCTTTAAAAAGTGAATGCATGCTGCTGCACACCCTACCATAGCACAAATGTCAATTGCTTCTTGGCTTTCCTGGGGTGATAGGAAGTCTGAACCTAACAGTCTCACCTGATTCTTCACAGGAGTCGTGTAGCCTTTCTCTTTCCAGTCCACAGATGTGGGGATCTCAAGAAGAATACGTTCCTGGAATTCCTTCCCCTTCCTGTGCTTCTGGTATTGAAAACCATTCATCACCTGCCTAAATTCTTCATTGGTCTTCAAGCAAAAGTAAATAAAATGTCAAAAAGCAAGAGATTAATTTGGTAAAGAACTGAGGAGGAGAAGCACAGAGTTCGGCAGTCCACAGCATACTTACCATGTCTCCAAAGGCGTTCATGGCCATTGTGAAGCTGTGTTTCCCTTGACTGTATTCTTGATTGTGCTGCTCAATCATCTTCATGTTCTTCTCCCACACTGCTCTCCTCCATCCTTCTTCATTCTAAAGGCAAACATGTAACTGATGCTTTTTTTTTTTTTTTTTGAGACGGAGTCTTGCTCTCTCGCCCAGGATGGAGCGCAGTGGTGCGATCTCGGCTCACTGCAAGTGCCGCCTCCTGGGTTCACGCCATTCTCCTGCCTCAGCCTCCCGAGTAGCTGAGACTACAGGTGCCAGTTAATTTTTTTGTTTGTTTGTTTGTTTTTTTAGTAGAGACGGGGTTTCACCATGTTAGCCAGGATGGTCTCGATCTCCTGACCTCGTGATCTGCCCGCCTCAGCCTCCCCAAGTAAACTCCAAGCTGGGATTACAGGCGTGAGCTACCGCGCCTGGCCAATGCTCTTCATTTCTAATTAAAACCCAACATATGCTAACCAAGTGAATCTTCAGACAGAGATGTAAGAGTAACCATGGCCAGGGAAGGCTTGACACCTCTGGGAGATGTTCTCCAAGCTCAGACACAACAAGGGTGTATTCCCATACCATGTTCATAATCAGTGCTGTTAAGTTATTGCATTAGGTTATTGGTAATAGCTGGCCTATAGAAGCTACTCTCCAGCCATATGATCCCAATAGCAAGGCCCATCTCTCTGGGGTTCCCCTGGACAGTTTCAGATGCCACCAACCATGCCATATAATTTCTTATGCTTTGCTTTCCACTTGGTTCATTGTGCATCTAAACTGTGGTCATGTGTTAGAGCAGCTGAGGCAATTCCCAGGCAAAAGGCAGCCAGGAGGAGTGAAGGATTCATGTTTCAAAAATCTAGGAAGGGAAAAGAAATGAGGATCTGATTAGACCCATCCTAAAAAGCCATTTTACTGCTACCTGAGAAACTAGGGCCACCATGGTAGAATAAAAATATTTAAATTATTCTTCCAAGCATTTACATAGGGACTGTGGAAGAGGCTGGAGAAATACAGGGCAAGTGGAGATAATGGATGGAACCACCAAAATGAAAAGCAGCCTGTCCAGAGCTGTAGGTGCTGAAACAGTTTTATGGGATGATAACTTAGGCTATGAAAAGGATAGGAAGGTACCTTATGGGCGAGAAGCTTAAGGCAACAACCAGGAAACTAGGAAACCATTGGCCCAGGTTTTGTACCAACTGGGCTCAGGTCATCCAGGCAAAACCTCATTAATGAAGACATCTAATTTCAAGAAGGGACAAAGGGATCCCCAGTAATTGGGAGGTCACTTCGCACTTTGTTCTTGGCTAATACACAGCAGAAGGTGAAGTATATTTTCCAAACGCCCCTTGTAATGAAACAGTTCTTGAACGTCTTCCCGGGAGAAACTGAGAAGGAGAGCACCTACCTGCCGCCGCTCCCGCAGTCCTGCAGTCCTGCAGGTGGGCCAGTCCTGCCAGCACTCCAACTCCCCTCACAGAGCATAAACTGAATCAGGTGGCCGAACCACAGGCAACCAGAGTCCCCAGTGTCCGCGCCCACACAGGGATACGCAGTTTCCCAGGCTTTGGGCTGGGGACCCAGGTCAGGTCCCTGCCTCTTGCTCCTGCCCTCCGCTCATGCTCACTGAGGCCCCAGGACGTGGGTGGTGTTGCAGGGAGCATGGGGCGCCCCTGCCTGATTTGCCGGGGTCGAGCCTCCCGGTCCCACTTCACCAGCCCTGGGAATACTGCGGCCTGGCACTCCCGAAAATCCCTCACTCACAGAGCTGAAGGACTTGCTGGGTCCCTGGTGGCTCCTGTCCAATCTTAGCCCACTGGGGTGTCAGCTGCAGTAGCCAAAGGTGGACAGGCACAGTGAGCAGGTGCTGGGTCCAGGAGTCTTCTGTCGTCTAAGGCCGCCCGAAAGCAACGAATTGACTTATAAAATCCCTAGCCTCCCTGTCCCCTTACAGCCCAGACAGGCCCGCCCCCACCGCTTGCCCGCGCTGCGATTGGCTGCGCCAGCCGCTGGGCGGGGCTTCCCGGCGTGCTGACTCTTGGCATGTGGAGCAGCTCAGTCCCCTTGCCTCAGTGGAACCGGGGGAGGGGAGCTGGGGGCTACGAAGAGAAGGGTCGGAGGTCTCCCTGGAGGGTTCGGATCAACTAAGTACCCTATTTAATACCCTGGGCGGGTGGTTTATGAAAAGAAGTTTACAGGAGCCCTGTGTGCATTTTCAGCCTAACCCTGTTTTTCCCTTAGGCCTAGAATTTTTGATTAAAATCTCCTGCAGGGCCCAGAGCCAAAGGACTCTAGTCCAGTGGTTCCTGTTTAGTCCACAGCAAAGGTGGGGCCGGTTGGAAGAACGCATAACCCGCAGGCAGAAGCCTGCCTTATCTTCCAATTAAGGGTATAGAAGAATCTGGGCGTGTTGCTGGTGGCTCATGCCTGTAATCCCAGCACTTCGGGAGGCTGAGGCAGGCAGATCACTTGAGCCCAGTAGTTGGAGACCAGCTTGGGCACCCTGGCGAAACCCCATCTCTACTAAAAATACAAAAATTAGCCGAGTGTGGTGGCCCGCGCCTGTGGTCCCAGCTAGTCGGGAGGCTGAGGCAAAATGAGCATCGCTTGAGCCCGGAAGTTGAGGTTATAGTGAGCACAAGATCGCACCACTGCACTCCAGCCGGGGGGAAGAGGGGACCCCTGTCTCAAAAAAAACTAAACTAAACTAAAAAAAAAAAAAAAAAAAAAAAAAACTAAAAAAACAGCAGACGAAAAAACAACATGGTAGAAACGCACTCTTGAAACACGTGATGAGATGATCCAAGACCAGACTCTAAGAGGGGTGGGGACTGGCTGGGTGGGTATTCCAGAGACCATGGGTGTTTCATGATGCCTTGTTTCCAGTCTCCTCCATCAGCGATTCTTCCTTCCCATGAAGTCTTGCATTAAGTGAATGAATGCAATCATCAAGAGTTAATGAAGCTCTGACTTTGTACTTATCATCCTTTGCTTGGTACAGTTGGACACTGCCTTAGAAACAATCTCCAGGTAACTTTCTCAACTGCTTTTGTGAGGCCCAGTTTTCCATTTAAAATCTAAGATTACCTCAGTAATCTTGCTTTTACAGCAAGTGGGCATGGAGCCTGACAGATATATTTAAACTAAGTTATGGACAAGCTGCTTGGTGCATTAGGTAGCAGAGGAGCTAACCTTGTGAGACATCTCCCCACATTGGTAATATTCACCCCTAAATCTATGATCAATAAATGCTTGTTTGGAGGCCATAGAAACTCTTCCTGAGATCTGACCTGTGTCTTCTGCCATCTGCCTGATTTCTCCCCATAGAATAGGAAAAACCACGTGTGAGGAGATATTGTGAATTAGAATTACGAATAAGAGTGTGCTTTGGTGGGCTCACGCCTGTAATCTGCAGCACTTGGGAGGCCAAGGCGGCGTGGATCACGTGAGTTCAGGAGTCAAGACCATCCTGGCCAACATTGGCGAAACCCTATCTGCTATTAAAAATACAAAAATTAGCAGGCATGATGGCAGAGCGCCTGTAATACCAGCTACTCAGGGGGGCTGAGGCAGGGACAACCCTTAAACCTGGGAGGTGGAGGTTGCAGTGAACTGAGATCGCACACTGCACCTCAGCCTTGGAGACATAGTGAGACTCCGTCTCAAAAAAAAAAAAAAAAAAAAAAAAAAAGAATATAAATAGAAAATGCAGTGATTCAAATAAGCACTATTAGTACCTCAGATCAGAGCCATGAGTTCTATACTAGACCTTACATGTTATTTCTCTGGTATCTCAGCAATATACTGAATAAAGATCAGGACTCCTTATTCAGCGGGTGGGATAGTTCTTAGTAATAGAAGCTGGGGTTCTCAGGGGATCCTGTGGATACAAGGTGGAGGAATAGAAGCACTTGGGGACCGCATCTACAGGTCTGATTTGAGAAACAATGAGACAGACAGGCAGGCAGCAACTGCTGGACTTGGGGGTGGGAGTAGGGAGGAAACAGGACACAGAAAAATAAGTATAAACCACCAGACTGCAGTCAGTGATCAACAAAAGTTCCGAAGTTTATATTGAGAAGAGTTCCCTTGTTTTGGTTTGAAGGGATTATATAAGGATTCGGGTTGCTTGATTTTTTTCATTCTTTTTCTTTTATGTGGTCTCAATTTTTTTGTAAAAAAAAAAAAAAAAAAAAAAAATGCCTTATGTTTGCTTTAGAACTGGCGAATGAATGAACCTCACTTTTTTAACACCTGAGATTCGTCACTGAAGCAGTGCACCTGGATTTAGGCTTAAAAATCTGACACCGAGTTTATCATACATGATAAGTGCAAGTTTCTTGTTCCTGGAAAGATCAGCGTCAAGGACACCCAGGAGGCCACGGCAAAATGCCCTCCTGGAAGCTTGGGCGGGTAGGGAAGATGCTGAGGCCGCGTATTGGTCCCTGGAGCCATGCATTGATTGTTTGTTGTGAACCCATACATTAGTCAGGCTTCTGAAGCCTTCTGCTAGTCCCATCTAAGCACTTTTTGTAAAGTTCGAGTTTTAGCAATTCACCCTGCTAATGTCAGTTTAGGCTGCCAGGAATCCTGTCCACTATATACGATCAGATCTATCCCCCACCATCCCGC